CTCATTTTGCCATGCAGAAAGACCCAGTACACGGTGGATATGATCAACGCCAGCGATATGGTCATATTGTACAACCACCAGTAGATCTTTAGGCCTCTCGTGGTCTCCGTTTTGTTGCCCGATTCCTGCACCAGACTGCGGGTGTTCCTTAGATCAAAGTGCCAGCAGGTGACCTGCACCGCTGCTATGAGCATGGTAATGGTGCACAAACCATAGCCCCAATTGGTCATGTAAATGAAGAACTTGCCATCGCAAAACTGCACGATAATGCACATGATATAGACTCCCAGAAAGAACAATGCCCATATCCATCGATATAGCAAGTAGAGTGCATTCGTTTCTTCCTTTTGCCACTGCAAAGGAAAGAAAATCGATGAAATAAGCGATCGAGAGATATTTATAAAGAAAACTACACACGATTAAATGTTATATGAAGGTTCAGTGTAAGTAAAAGTAATGTACTGAGTCATGTACATTATTGCAGAACTTGCACTTGTGCAATCAAATGTACCCATAAATCCTTATCGCCGGTGGGTTCAAATCAACGTCTGCCCCTAACACCATGATCTTGTATTTAATTATTTTAAATACGTATTCCAGTGCCAGTTCTTACAATCATTACAATTTGTACAAAATTATATTAAATATAACCTTTAAAAGTCCCAATTAAAAACCCCTAGACATTGTTTGAAATTTCCACGAGTCCTTATCGCTGATTTCAGATTTCACTTGTTTTATACACGGCGGATCGGTTGTGTTTTGTGTTGTGTAATTTCTAAATTAAATATTCCACACCTTTTCGGTCATAAAACAAACAAAATGCGCGCAGTTTTTACTAATTTATGATAGCTTCTGCCACATTTGCTGCTTATCACACAATGACGTAGCAGTGGCAGATACATAAAGCGAGTCACATTTTGTTTTTTATTTTCTTAGCAAATCAACAAAACAAAAATCTCCATTTACGCAAGTGTAATAATAATAATCATAAACACTCGTAATCATCATAACAATTAGTTTGGAAAATTTGTGCGGAAATCAAATCGTTGGCATCTACGCTACATTTACGCTACTTTATTTATGAGCTGGCATTTATTTTGTTTGAAGCCTGATAAGGGTAAACCGTACTATCACATATTTTGTCTGGTTCCTGTTATGATTCGCATTCCACGAACCCTTTTTGGGGGTTCGAAATGATTCATTTCTTGTTACGCCGAATTTGTACTTTGAAATGCTCTTTGGGTTGTTTTGTTATCATATAATGAAATGTACAAAAAAACACTGGCAGTGCTTATCAGCTTTTGTTTATAGTGCATTTATCTAGATAATTAGCTGGAAGGTAGTTTTCGGTTTTCGTTGTTTTGTCATCATTTAGTTTTAGTTTTTGGCTGGAGCTTTTGCTTTCCCATTCATCATTTACTGCTCTGTTCCCATGAGAACTCCACACAGTTGGTAGTAAAGCTTTCGGTTATGAAATTAAAATGTGTTAATTGCTTCTTAGGCATGTGGTTTAATTTGGGATCCGTTGTGCTTTCCATTCATTCGTGAACTCTGTGTTATGTGAACTCTGTTTTTTGTGGATTTAGAATTCTGATTGTTTGTATATTTAATACTCTGTTTGAATGTTGATCTATAACTCAGTTGTTTTTTGGAATAAGCACTCTCCTTTTTGTTGATTTTTATCTAAACTGCTCACACACTTGTTTAAAATGATTTGTTGGCACTTTTGATATCTCAGCTGTTAGCTGAGCTATTTTTATAATATTTTTGCTTTTGTTTCTAGCTTTTAGCTGACAGCTTTTATACAACCTATCGTTGGATGGGGAACTACTACCTTTTTCGCCTTATGTAATACATTTGATCTGCTGTAGATTGTATAAACGAAGCGAAATTGCATCGAACATCAGGAATTTTGATTTGCAAATTGATTTGTATCACATAATAAATGTTGATTAGATCAGCTTGTCGCTGATCTGTGGCCTACACTCTTTCCGCCTCACATAACTTTCGTTTCGAAACACGTGCTAAAGTTTCCCAGGAAAATGATCTCACGACGATCAGCAGTTACAACGTTCGTTGGAAATTACAATAGTTACACCTGCACTGCTGCTGTTTGAACTCTGATACCATATGGGATGTTTTTTTGTACTATGGGGGGGATATTCCACATCTCACATATTCCTTTCTCACCTGCGATCGGTAGAACAAATGAACGCGTTTGTAGGCAAATCCAAAATTCTCCCGCTGCAGTTCCTTGTTGAAGCTCTTGCAGAAGTCATCGAAAAGCATATTTTTTGTTTGTTCTGTTTTTTATTGTAGAGATGATTTTTTGAGGCAGAAGAACCCTCCGACGTGAGTCGCGTATAGCCGGCAACTGGCTGACGTTCCCGAAAAGGCCTTTTTTTTGCTGTTTCCCCACTCCTCTGACTAAACCAGAGCTTTGAGTTATGTTTACGACGCGACACGAACACCGCGGGAGCAAGAAGGAAAGATAAACAAGGAAACAGAGAGAATGCGATACGGGGGGGAGGGAACACGATGATGTTGAGTGATCTTGAAAAAAAGCACTGAACCCTCCTGGGACTGGGGGGTTGGGAAGTTAGCAGCAGCAATTAGCAAAAATAGTAGCTCCACTTGGCACGCGCACTCGGACACGACTACTGGGCAGATCGATATGGTACTTATATGGGAAACCCAGCGATCGCTCGAGCAGGGAGCCCCGAACCCGAGCCGAAACGATGACGAACTTCGGAGCACTCACAACAGACAGGCAGCAAAGCAGCAGCAGCAGCAGTAGCAGCGCGTTGCAGCAGAACGAGGGACTGTTTTGATCGAATGCCTAACGGGAAATGTGAAAATAAACTATAGACATATCATGCTTTATAAACGATCATAACCGATCTGCGAAGCGACAGCGACAGATCTTTCAGCGTAAATTCAATTAATTATAGGGACCAATTCTGCAGTCAAAAGAGACGACTCTCTTTGGGCCTCTCTCTGTCTCTCTCTGGGTGTGAGAACCATCGTTTAATGGATGATATTATATCAAGATATTGACAGCACACACACACACACACACATGCAACTGAGATCTCTGTCATTGTTAACCAGCACTGAACTTGAAGCCATAGAGGTCGACCAATTAAGATCACTATCGAGAGAGAAATATATTTTCAAAAGCAGCCAAAAAATGCTGTGCCAAGAATTACATACACATAGTACATACAATTTGGTTCTTTCTGACCTACATTGCGCGACAAATGGTATAAATAGACGATAAGCAAAGTGGGGAAAGGTAAGGTTCTTTCTACTATATGGTACGTACACCTTATCTAATCCACAAAGAGAGAGAGAGCCATTATGGGGTACTTGAACGCAGACTAATTGCAGCTAAATTGGCTTTCGATAACCTCCAAGAACTCAGCTTAAAGTCCAGAAATTGACGTGCCCATAAAAGTTCAAAGTGAAATGAATTGATTTATATGAGTTCAAACTCAAGATAGAGATAGAGTGTGTGACTGGGTATAGGTCATGGCCTGGTCATCAATTTGACTTCGTTTTCGCAATTGAATTTGGATCAATTGAACACCCGAGACCGACACCCATTTAATAAAATCGCTCCCGAGCATCGATTACACATTGACTGACATTCCTCCCTGATATTTGCATATATTTCTCATATATATGGAATTTACATATATTCCCAGCATTACAGCCTCCCAATTATCAGGGGTAAAGCGGGTCCACAGGTTCGTTAACCTTGCAGCTGACCTTGCCATTGACGAAGTCGAAAGTGTCGTCGACGTTTGTAAAGCTAAGACACGCCCATCTTCTGATTTATCTTCTTTTTATTGCATATACTTAATTATAATTGGTACTCAGTTTTGCTGGGACTTTCGCTGTGAATTCAAATCAGAATCTTAAGATGAAATTGCCTGACAGCGGCAAGAGGTTTGTTTGATCGATTGGATAAGGGGGCGTTCTCAGATATCATTAGATGGAGTAAGTGTGATTACAGATCAAATATCAGACAACAGAAATGCCTGGCATGTGTTTACGTTTACGCTGTTTTTAACCTTGAATTGCATTAGAAATATTATCCTGTAAACACTTATAAATACCCTGTATTACCCAAGTGATAACTTCGTTCTGTAATAGTCAAACAATCAATGATTCATCATAGAGATAGAATTCATATGAGTACTATTCCTACCCTTATCATTACCTAACGGACTTTCCTAATGGCAAAAGCCCTCCATTCAATGGTAAACTTGAAGCAGTTCAAGTTCCACAATTGTCAAAGCTCTGATGATATCAGAAGAGGAAACAACGTCAATCAGCGACAATCTTTCACATTAGACATGCCCAGGCAGACCACACCAAAAAAACATTGATAAATTTTGCTACAAGGAAAGGTGGAAACATGTGCCAGAAATACACTTTCGGAGGGCATAAAGATTTACGCAAAAAGCAAAACTAACTTCCAGAGAACTTTCAAGTGAACCAAAAGCCCCTGGGGAACATTTTAACAAGCGAATTACTTCTCCAGGGTATTCCCACAACCATGTTCCTAATTTGTCTGATATTTTGCGTGTAGCTTTGTTTTCTTTCTGCCTCCTTATCGCTGTCTGAAGCCTCTGGAGTGCTGTCCACAAGGAAAAGCCGCCCACCTCTGCCACGGCCATCAATTGCTTTATTATTGACTTTGAATCATGTGCGAAAATTCCCAAAACATGTTTAAATATTTACGGGCCATCGATTGGTTTTCCTGGGTCTTGTGTGCTGGCTAGCCAAGGGTTCCCACTTTAGTGGATAGCCCTGCTCCAACTTGACCACGTTCGCATTTTTCTGGAGATCTTATCTGTGCGGTGCGCGCGCTGTTTGAATTAGACATAAACGGTTGATAAGCAGTCAACTCGTATCACTCCTCGATTACCCAGCCGATTCAAGCCAAAACGATTTGCGGAAATTATGGCCCATTCGCATGGCTATCATTCGGTTATGCCGCGTGGCTACGACAGTCCGTGTTCTACCAGCGAACGAGCCGCCTGGTGTGGTCCCTCCTGTCAGCCCTAGTCCAGCGCCAGCGACGCCGCGTACATCCGAGCACAAACAGCATGCGGGACACCAGCGAGGATTCCTGCTGCCTGCCCTTCAAGCAGGAGTTTCAGCGCTCCAAATTCTCGCTGCATCACGATGATCCTGGTGTCTTTTGTCGCTCGCAGTGGCAGCGCGGGGATCGCAATATTCTGTGGCTTCTGTACCGCTGGATTTGGGCGGGGTTCTTTGCCGGTGGCGTGATTGGTAGCTTGGTGAGCAGCTTCAATGACGGCAAATGGTTCATTTACCTCACGGACTGGGGATTTACACTGTGCTTCTATGTCTGCACCTATGGCGCTGTGGTGGCCACCATATACTTTTTTAAACCATCGTATTTTGGTAAGTTTTGTGCTCCATTTGAGGGGTTTCTTTTCATGGCACATTCTGCTCTTGTAGCTCCTGGCAGCGTGGCGCTGAAGATCTATTGGCTCTCCCACTACACCACAGTGGTGATTGCCATGATGATAACGCTTGTGTTCTGGGCAGCACTCTATCCATGTGAGTAGCTCCACGGGCTGTCAATTGATTACACAAATTTCTCCTTGATAGCCATGCCGGAAATGGGCGCCGATCTGTACAACCTTTGGGCGCATGCCTTCAACTCGATCTTTATGATCGTGGACTGTTTTATGGTGGCCTTTCCCACGCACATCATGCACTTTGTTTATCCCTTTGCCGCGGGCATTACCTATGGCATTTTTTCGCTGATTTACTTCTGGTCTGGAGGCGTTGATTTGTGAGTTTTGGCTGCGTCTACTTTTCAACAGAATTTAATCACTTTGAATCCCTATTTCAGCATGGGCAATCGTTACATTTACTTCATCTTGGACTGGGAGAGACCAGGCTTGGCCATAGGCACCGTCTTTGGTTGTGTTGTGCTCGTGAGCTGCTTCTGCATATTGGTCTTTGGCTTCTATAGACTCCGCACGTGCATCTACAACCGCTGCAGTGGGCAAAAGCAGCTGGAGATACCCTCGACAAGAGCCTCCACGGAAACAGTGCAGGTCGCTTGAAACGCACAGCATTTCACATATTTTAAAGCCATGTTAAGTAGTATTCATAAGCTTATTCTTAGTCAGCCAATTTGTGCTATTAAATACCCAAATTGCTACGATAAATTCACCTTGCTTTGTGAGTGTATTCCTAGTGCCATGTACATTGTTTCTATGACTTCTTATCATGTCTGACTGTAGGGAAAACCCGTGGGGCTAGCGAGTGCCAATAGGTTTATGGTTTTACCATGAATCAGCTGAGAATAATGCCAGGGATATACACACTTATAAATACTGTGAAAACTTTCCACGACCATTGAACCCTTTAACATTTTATGAATGATTTTTGGCGTCCAGACATGACCTCTACGCGCCCATGGGGGGTCTTATCAGTGGCGTGCGCGCCAAAATATACATAAAATCTTGTCGTACCGGAAGATAAGGGCCGCGATTGGCCGATTGTTCGCTTGATTATCCCCTAAACATAGCCGATTTGTGGGGCTATAAAACACCTGCTTCGCGTGGTGCTGCCAGTTCGAGCTTCACCGCGGAAAGAGTCACCAGAAAAGGGAGAATCTTCAAACGATGCGGAAGGAAAGTGAGGATTCGTGTTGTCTGCCCCTCAGACAGGAGTTACGGCGCTCCAAGTTCTCGCTGCATCACGCGGATCCCGGCGTGTTCTGTCGCTCCCAGTGGCAGCGTGGAGAACGAAGTGTCCTCTGGCTGCTGTACCGCTGGCTGCTCGCCACTTTCTATTCCGCTGGCGTGATTGGAAGTCTGTTAAAGGTGTTCAACGAGGGCACTTGGTTTATTTATCTCACGCATTGGGGCTTCAGTTTGTGCCTGTTTGCCAGCGTCTATGGTGCTGTTGTGGCCAGCATTTACTTCAGCAAACCCACATATTTCGGTGAGAATTCAAAACCATTAAAGATTTTCCTTGCGTGAGAGTCCCACCTCTCCTTGCAGCTCCTGGCAGCGTGGCGCTGAAGATCTATTGGCTTTCCCATTTCACAACTGTGGCGCTCTCGATGCTGGTAACGTTGATCTACTGGGCAGCGCTCTACCCATGTGAGTGTACATTTCACAGCTGAAATGGTTTAATCCTCTCTAGATATTCTTCCTTAGCCATGCCCGAAATTGGTGCAGATTTGAACAACCTCTGGGAGCACGCCTTCAACTCGATTTTCATGATCCTAGACTGCTTCATGCTGGCGTTTCCCACACACATCCTGCATTGTATCTATCCCCTGGCGGTGATTCTTACATTTGGATTTTTCTCGCTGGTTTACCACTGGTGCAACGGACATGATTTGTAAGTGACAAATGCCATTCAATTCCTAAAGGTTTTCTCTTTCATATTTTCACTTTGCAGCGATGGCAATCCTTTTATATATCCCATCCTGGACTGGGCTCGACCAGGCCTGGCCATTGGCACGCTTTGTGGCTGCTTGCTGCTTGTGTGCTGCTTCTCCGTTTGTGTCTTTGGGCTGTACAGACTCCGCCTGTGCATCTACAATTGCTGTGGGAGAGAACAGAAAAGCGTCCAACCTGCTTGACATTGAATAAAGGATTGTGGTTGGATATATTCTAGATAATTTAATGCGGGTTTAAAAGGCCACAATTAGGCGTATTTAGGCCATTTTCTGTACGACAGCAAACTGCAGAGAATGGATTTGATTGGACCACTTCTCCAGGGCATTATAGCGAGCGGCGCTGCTATTGACCTTGTCCAGCTGCAGCACCTGATTGACCTGATCAATGCGTCCCTTGATGGTGCTGTCGAGTAGAAAAAGCATTAATTAATCAATCATTAAAGAGGAGAAAGCCATTTGCTTACTCATCCAAAATGCAGGAGACCAGAAGGCTCTCCACTTCGGCGGGCTCAATGTTCAGGGCGCTGGCTATAAATGGTATAAAGATGTTCTTGTACGGTCTAATCAGTTTTATGAGCACTTGGGTGCGTATATTGCGCAGAAGATCCTCAATGTGTTCGCGTATAAACTGATCGGCCATAATGTTGCTACGATGCTGGCGCAGAATGGTCTCAAACTCGTTGATGTCATTGTTTTGATACGAATTAACCAGATTGGTCATGGCGAGTATTTCGGGATCATTCTTGTACGGTTTGGCCTCCTGCGAGTCGAATGGATTGATGCCTGATTTCATCAACCTACAAAAGAAGAATGGATTAAGAGGGTTTCCTTCTTCTCGTGGGATGTCACTTACATGTTAGCCAGAACCAAGTACTTGAGGCATGTGGTACGCCTGGGTGAGCCGCTCTCATCGTAGTTCTTGAACGCCTCAAAGAAATCGGTGTGCGCCTTCTCGAACTCGCCCTCACGCAGATGCATCTTGCCGCCACACTCGCGTATCACGCCCATAATCAATGGATGCGGTATGGCCGACTTGATATGCAGCGACTGCTCGTACAGCGCCTTCAACTTCTTGTTGTTCTTCTGCACGGTGTACATTTGAATCTCCAGCGCGTAAATCTCCAGCAGTTGTGTACCCTTTTTGAGATCATCCTCGCCATCGTCCGTCTGGCAGCTCTGGTGCAGCTGCTTGAGTATCTTTTGCAGCTTGGTAAAGTCGCTGCGATCAAAGTAGAGTTTGCCCAACTTAGTGTTTGTCTTGAACCACAATCTGTCGTTCTTTGCATCCCTCAAAGCATCCAAAGTGGTTTCGTAAAAGTTCTGCAACAGAGCCATCTGCAAGGAAAATGAAAAATTGATTATTAAATACATTTGTGTGGTGTTTCACTTACATTCTTGGAGGTGGATATGTAGTCCAATATCGAGTTGATGCTCTTTTCCGAGTGATTTCTGGTGACGGCGCTCTTAATGTACGTCAATAGTTGCTTGTAACGCACCATCATTTCGTCGTAGTTGCACTGGGGGAGCTTTATATTAATTAGACATTCGGATACACGAATTTTACGTATTTACCAAACGAAAATTAATCTTAATCATCTGTTTGAGCGCTTTGAAGCCCCACTCGCCCTTCTCACCATTCTCCAGATCGAGCACTCTCTGGAAACTGGCCAGCGCCGCCTTGGGCTCCTCCTCCTTCAGCGCCTTGCTGTTGTAGTACTGATTCTCCAGATCCACATCGGGCTCCGAATTGCTATCCTCAGAATATTCCTGCAAAGAAAAATAATTTCCACCCAACCCAGCGACGTCATTGAAAATATATCTTTTCTTGTTTTAAAATGTTTCCTTACCAATCCATAGTCCTCATCATCATCGCACATGAAGTCATCATCGTTGTCAGACATTTTTATACACTTTTAATTGCTATTTACTACAAATAATTGAAAAAACAATGCCGGCATAAAGAATTGCGAAAAACAGAATTAGTGTGTTGCGATTCGGTGTATTTGCGGTATACTTGGGAAAATGAGAATGTATATTTTGATATATTTCCGAGGGTCACACTCTGACCGTTTAGGCGCTGGAGAAGATTTCCCTGACTGTTTAGTTTAAAAATTCAAATACAAAAATACACTGCGGGAAGAATAGATAGAATTACATATGACATGAAAAGAGCGCTCAGGAGCCCAGAACTGAATAATCTTTTACAAGAATTTACAGAATATAGAGTCCCAAACACAGAGCTAAAATTCTCACATTCAGAGAACTACTGAAAGTAAAATCTCAGTTTTGAAAAAAAAATTGTAAAATTAAATAATGAAAACAAGGTTCACAAAGGGTGGCCAGCACCCAATTGTCAAATGAAGTAACATTCCATTCCCACCAAGGTACCTTTTAATGATTTTTATGGTTGACAATTTTGGTTTTAGCCTTATTTCGCAATCAGTTGAAAATAGATAGGTCATGAAAACCAACCAATCTTGTAGAGAACTGAAGGATGATTCGAGTAAAATTACAGTTTTAAAGCTGAGAGTCCTAACCAGCTGCACTAACCAAATGGTATTTGGTAGTGCCTATTTGGTTAGTGCCAGCTGGCAATATTAAACAGAAGATCAAAGTCGAGCACAATTATTAAATATTTCGGTATATTTGCAGTATATTTGGGTAAAGAGAATGTATTTTTTGGTACTTTTCTGAGGGTCATGCAATACTTTTGATCGAAAACGCGGTCACACTTAATCTTTTCTTGCCAAAATGAGGTTTGTTGACATACATAAAAAGTTGATGTTTACCGTTATTTTATTGTTTAATTAAAAATATATACCGACAGTTTGTTGAAACGACTTTTGCACACTTCGATTCGTTGCAGCCGCTCCATGAAGAGCACGCACCCATCGGCGGATCGCAATTCGCAGCCCATTGCCGAGGCGCTTGTGGCGCAGGTGGACAGAGCCACACCCAATTTACAGTTGCTCGAAATTGCCTCTGGATCCGGGCAGCACGCGGGCTTTTTGGCACCATTTTTGCCCAACATCAGCATACAGACTACGGAAAATGCGCGGGAAATGTTCCCCTCCATTGCGGCGTACGCCGCAGATTGTGCGACGGGCAATATACGGGCGCCCCTGCACGTGGACATTACCCGGGACCCCGGGCAGTGGGAGGTGCCGCCGCAGAACGCAAGTTACGACTATATTTTCAATTCCAATATGATGCACATCAGCCCCTGGGCGTGCAGCGTGGGACTCTTCCGCGCAGCTGGGCTGCTGCTAAAGCAGGGCGGAAAAATGTTCACCTACGGGCCGTATGCCCAAGATGGGGTCCTGCAACCACAGAGCAATGTGGACTTTGACCGCAGCCTTAGGCAGCGGAATGCCTCTTGGGGTGTGCGGGACATTAAGGATCTCAAGGTGCTGGCCACGGAGCATGGCCTGCGGCTGGAGAAGCAAGTGGATATGCCCTCCAACAATAAATTTCTGACCTGGCTCAAGCTGTAGCCGAGTGCACTGCTCCCCTTGCGTTTACCCCTTAAGATAACGAAACGACGTTTGTGGCGGCAATAAACGATTTTTTATTGCATGGAGTGCCAACTCATCGAACTAGGCCAAGTGGACACACTTAGATGGACCCTGAAAACACCAATTGATAGTCGAATAGAGAGAGATTGCAGACGGCCTATAAAACCCAGCAACGCCATGGACTGGGGCAACATTTGGTCAGGAACGGCACTCGCTGCACCATGGAACGCTTTCAAACCGCCATTTTACTGCTACTGCTGCTAGTTGGCTGCTGTCTGGCTGGTACGGCGCGTCGGCCGCGCCTCGATGGACGCATTGTGGGCGGCCAGGCGACGACCATTGAGGCAATACCCTACCAGGTGTCGCTGCAGAGGAACTATCACTTCTGCGGCGGCTCACTGATTGCGCACGGCTGGGTGCTCACCGCTGCTCACTGTACGGAAGGATCGGCCATCCTGGTGTCCAAGGTGCGCATCGGCTCCACGCGCACCGACTCGGGCGGCATCCTGGTGGGCATCAAGCGCGTCCATCGTCATCCAAAATTCGACACCTTCACCATCGACTACGACTATTCGGTGCTGGAATTGGCGGACTACGAAAGGAGCAACGTAACTCAAGCGTTTATTGGACTGCCCAAGCAGGATGCAGACATTGCGGATGGCACTGCGGTGCTGGTCTCCGGCTGGGGCAACACCCAAAGCTCGCAGGAGCCGACGAGCATCCTGCGGGCGGTGACTGTGCCGACCGTCAGCCAGACACAATGCACCGAGGCCTACGGCAGCTTTGGCACCATCACGGATCGCATGCTATGCGCGGGTCTGCAGCAAGGCGGCAAGGATGCGTGTCAGGGCGACTCCGGTGGACCGCTGGCCGCCAATGGAACGCTCTGGGGTGTCGTTTCCTGGGGCTACGGTTGTGCCCGGCCCGATTATCCAGGCGTATACTCTCGAGTATCGGCAGTGCGAGATTGGATAGGATCAGTAAGTGGAGTTTGAGCTTATTTTTGATTGAATTATAAACATAACACAAATTGGATGGCTGTGGTGTTTACGTTAACATTAACATGTATGGTTAACAGTGCGCTGTTATTCTGTTAGTTGTGCGCCGGAAAGCAAATTTATTACATAATTGGAATGCAGCTGGGTGCTATGACACAAATTACAAATGAATGGAAATTTAAAAGATAAAGCAGAATGCAGACATCTTTGTTTGCTGCAGAGATTATTATAAAAATGTATCTTGGTCTATAATAAATTTGCAGAAATTAACTTTATGTCGCTAAAAGTCTAGAAATAGCTAACATTTGCACGATGTATGTAACATAGCACACAGTGTACTGTAATGATATGAATGTTGCTGTTCAAAAGCTCACTGTTATGTCACTCACTAAGGCGCTACTTTCAAATATGTTTTTGCACACATCAAGCAAATACGAGAATCCTTTTTCTTGAGTATTTGCATTGTTTTTTGACTATTTCATGCCAATACGGAATTACTTTGAATTTAAATGCATAGAAACATCAGACTTTGTCAAGAAAGACATTTATGCGCCTCTGCTCAATCCATTCATCAACTCCAACTGGAAGCAATTGACCCAGAAAAATGTTCAAGCCAATAAAATAATATTGACACATTGTGTGCAGCATAGAGGAAGAGGAGGAGGAGCACCAAACAGAGTCTCAGTCCATATCCGTATCGACAATTCTAGACAGACATTGAGAGACTGAAGGCAAATTTACTTAATAATTGGCCCAAAGGCAAATAAAAGTGCAAAGATGAGGCAATTTGCAAAGTGAATAGAAAGGACTTTTGGGTTGGTGGCTGTGTGTGGTGCCATAAGTTGCCTATTGGAGTGTCCCCTTATGGTTTTCATGGTACATTTCTGATGGCCAACACACACTCCTAATTGTTGATTAAATGCTACCACAAATTGCTGCAAACGTTCAGTCGGTTTCTGGTCGATTTGCCTCTTGTTTTTCGAATGTCTGCCGCTTGCTCTCCATTTACCAGCTGCTGTTGTCAAAGCAGTTAGCACTGCAGCCACGCGTGTCGGCAAGCAAGGAGGGAGAGTAGTCCGACAGGTTACTAGGTAGCTAGCAGCAAATTGCCCAAGAGGTGTGTGCTACTCCTGTTCGTTCCTGTGTATGTGTGAATGCCATGTCCTTTGGGTCATTGCAATTTTGCACGTGAACTTGTTAACAGCAAGTGGTAGGAGCAAAAAAAGAACACAAGCAAAGGGGAGCACCGAAGTCAAGACATGAACTGCAAATTGAACAGTTATGGGTAGATGCATACTGCATTGGAGCTGTCACTATGTTCACTCTCCAATGAACTGAGGACAAAGCATGATATGGGACATCCTTAGATGTAGGGGGCATAATCTCTATAGTGCGTAGCGAAAGTATATGAAAATTATATAATATTAAGTAGAATATAACTTCAGATAGCCATTTTAAATTCAAATTCCCTTCATTCACTTTCAGAATTAATTTCCTTGTGCGGAAGCTCATGATCTCGGCATCCTGTAGCTGTTGTTGTAGCTGAATTCAAATTCAGCAGCTAACGATAAAATATTGAAATATATCACTAAAAGGAAGAGAAATTGAATCGCTACGAAGTTGAACCACGAAAAATGATTTGATTCATTTTAATTTACATTTTACATTCCCATATTTGAGAATTCATCGATTATGTTAATCGGTGACTCTTATGTAAACAACTCACTGTAAAAAATAGCTAAGATTCTACAGCACAATTGTTTATCCTTTAAAGTTCCGCCACCCCTTAGCCCTTTTTTAATTCTCCTTGAATTGGTGACCCCGACTAACGACTTGTGGCAGTGCTTAAGATGTTTTCTTATTGTTTTTTTTTTCTTCTTCTGGGGTTTCCCTCCTTTTTTGGGCTCTCCTTCGCTTCCGCTTAGCTTTTTCGTCTTCCTCTTCTTCTTGTTCCTGTTGCATGGATATTGTTGTTGCTGTTGCTGTTTCTGTTTCTGTTTCCTGTGTCCAGTCGAGGACGCAGTCGAGACATGGAAAATGTAAAATTTGTTTGTTTCCTTTTCATTGATGTTGAAAGTTTTTGCAGCTGCTGCAGACAATGCAATGAGTGGGGCATACCCCACAGTCCCCACTATCCTACTGTTCCTTCCCCTACTGTCTACTGTGTTTCCCCTTGTTCCCCTCTCTCTTGTTTTGCCTCGCTTCAGTCTCTAATTTTATCTGCTGGCATGCCATGGGGACTGTCTTATTATTATAGTTTGTCGATTTGTTTGCATTGTAGTCTACATTGTTGTTCTGTCCAGCAGCAGCAGCTGCCACAACAACATCCAGCATCGATTGTAATAAATTATTTTGCAGCTTTTGTAATTTGTTATGTGGCCAACAAATATTGTCGAAAGGATAGAAAAAGGAATTCGACGTACGCTTGTTTTTAACCAATCGAAGAATCAGCCAGATGAAGTTGAGCTTTTAGGTCTTGAGGTTGGCTGATTAAATCTGTAAGGAAATTCCTCTCCCACTTTTAGCGTGCAATTTCTCAGCTTTCCCTTTAAAACGTTTGTTACATTTGCGCCTGAAACTCCAACGAAATGTATTCAAAAAAGGAAAATATTAAATACATCTGGTTCGTGGCCATTTCCGAGTTGTCTATGACTCAGTTAGGTGGCCTACGCGTCGTATGCTTGATCTGCAAGCATGTTGCCATGGCACTGGCTCGCTCTCGCTCTCTCAGTTTCAGTTTTTTATGGAAATAATATTCTTGTCAGGATTAAAAAGGATACGTGCCTGGAATATGAATGCAATGTGCATGCGGGAATGTGCAAAGAAACCCGTAACAAAAAACTGTCACTGAAACAAGAGGCTGGGCAGGCAAAAAAAAAAGACAAACAGCAAAAGACAGGAGGGGGAGACACAAATGTAACTGTCAAGGCTCTGCTGCCGACTGCGACTACGAGGACTGCGACTTTTGCTATCGTTGTCGCCTGTCGCAGATCCGTAACCGTGTTTGTGTTTGTGTTTGTGTTTGTATTTGTATTTGTCTTTCTTTGGTTGCCCTGGCTGCTCTTAGCCACTCTCCAAAAGTATCCTCATCATCCACATCCTCATCATCATCATCATTTCGATGCTTATCCTTGCTTATTGTACTGCCAGGGCAATGCTTGCGCTTTTCTCCCATTCTGTGCCCTGTGTATGCTGGTTGTATTATTTCCTTTTTTAATTTTTAAGAAAGCATATTGTAATTCTGTTGTTTACCTGAACATCGTGCTTTCCCGTACGATATATTTTTTTAAATCTCGACCTCAGGCGATTCCATGTTTTCGTGTTGTTTACTGACTTCGAGTGCGCTCTCTCTTGCTCTCTCTCTCTGTGTGGCTTTTGATTCGGATTCTGGCTTCCCCATGCAGCAGTCACTCATTTGTCCTGTCATTTGTATTATTCCCCCACGCCCACGCATCCTTGACAGCGGCTTAGCCTCGTTGTGGTCTTCGGTGTTCTCCTGCCAGAGGCTGAGTCCCCTGCTGTTTAGCTATTCGTAGCATGTCCTGGGCAATGGCTAGGATTGTGATGTATGATTTTCAATTTCACCTCTGGCAAAAGGCCCTTTCAAATGTAGTTTGAAAATTATTCCGGGATATTATCTTGGAGTTTAAGCAACGTGTTTTTCTGAATATACAGGCACCATTAACTACTTAACATGTGTGAGAACATGAGTGTTAAGTGAGAGTCTTTTGTGGGTGTTTATGGTATTTTATGCTATTTATTTCAATATATTCATATTTAATCGAACAACTCCAAACATCTAATAGTAAGACTGATAATTTCAAGTTAAATTATGCTTCAAATTTTAAAACTTGTTAAGTAATTGAGCAAGGAAAGCTCAATGGATTAACCATAGCAGCTTCAGCATTCCCCTAACTTTATTTGCATTTTCTAGACCTTGAATGGGCATATCTTATATTACTTTCGCACGCTTTCTTATCAAACTGCGTGAAACCATATAATATCTACCTTTATAATTATAAAGTAAATATCTTAACTACATGGAAACTAAACACACATTTGTCTGCCAGCATTGCCACTGAACGACCATTCGAGGGACCCTCCTGTCTATCAGTGGTATTCCAGTGTAAACAATCGCAGAACATAAACTTTTGAAGTACAGGAGCCGAAATGCATTCCAGTACTTTCTGGTTTATGTTTCCACTATTTTTCTATGTTTTTATTTCCCATCTAAGTCTGTTTATCTTTCTATTGCTGCACATATCAAGCAGGCATGATTTACGATGTGTTTTCGATATAACTTTTATGATCAAATGGCAACAAGTAAATGTCGATTGGAAGGATTGAAATGACTAGATGGAAATATACCAAGAAAGGAAACGGAAAGTGCCAATTCAAAAATTGTATTCCGTTTTCGATCACTTCATTCGATCAATAGAATTTTGGAGTATATATTGTGGTTTAGTCAATTCCATGGAAATGGTTAACTGACTCAATGTAGGTCGTAGCCCATAGATAAGCGAGCTCTTATCTTTATTTGGGGTATAAAATCCACAATTTTTATGATCGACAAATGTGCCGCACTACATAATGCGCTGCTATTGAGTGCATAGCTTCAGTTTCCATTGAGTTCCTGTGCCGAACAGTACACAGTCGTGAAAAATCGAAAAATAAATCAATTTAAATATGTGGAAGAAGGTGATTTTTGATGTGGTTCTTGTGGCCTTTGTGGGCGTGCAATTAGCAAACTCTCTTAGTTGCTACAGCTGCAAGGATCCAGCCAGCTGCCAGAATCCCACGCTCCAGACCTGCAGCAATGTGACGGCCAATGAAACCTCAGTGTGGCTTTCCACGTTGCACAATAATGTCCCCAGTGTGGAAGGCAGTCTAGCCTTTTTTTGCACCAATCTCACCTACTACCATGCTAGCAGTAAGTGCCTTCCCCTAAAAGAGTTCCCACCCAGTGCTAATTTCGAACCCAAATTTTCCAGACAACAGTCGCATCATTGAATACCTGGGCTGTGTCCATCCTAATACCATGGCCTGTGGTTTGAATCTGACGAATGTGGAAAACAGAGAAATTTGGAGCAAGGATTGCCGCAACTGCAACACGGATTATTGCAACAAGAAAAATCCCGCAGGCACTTTCAGTGGCAGCGCCTACACCATGATTGGCTCCGTCCTGGCCCTGCTGCTGGCCAAGATTCTCAGTTAGGATCCACAATACGCACCCGAATTTTGATTTTTAGCGTTAGATGATAAGATTTTTAAAGATAGTTTATGTAAATATATAAAATAGTTTTGGGATCAAAGAAGGATCCACTCGTAAATCTTCCACTTACTTCCTCTTTTCATTGATTTTATTGCACTCATTTAGGGGTTTATTTCTTTCCATGATACTCAACGAATGAGCATAATAATTATTTACAAGCCTTTGTCGTGATGCAAAGTAAAGTTTGGGGGAACTGTGAATCACTCTTTTTGGCCTAGGCTTTTATGATCGCCACTTAAAGAAATCCATCCAAAAAGTTCCCCCTTTTCGATCGCCAACAACAGGTACGTATTATATGGTTATAGCTGATAGCAGTACCAATGGTTAGCATATTTTTATGGTGGACAGATAAGCGATAAGTCTGTGGGGGCTTTTCTGGGCGGAGACCCCGCCATGACTAAGCCGTTAGAACTGCGATTAAAGTTAACTCAGATACTGAAAAGAACTGATAAAGAAGGAGAGAGCGAAGAGTGGAAGAATCTCATTAAAAAAAGTAACTAAAGTGTTCAATAATAAATTTAAGAAAATTGTAGCAATTTCCACCTACAAGCCCTTCGACTCGCATTCAAATTTCTTTTTAATACAAATTTGAATTCATTATAGAGGGGAAAAAATGCATTTGTTGCATTTTTTAATCCACATTAACGATAAACCTTTCAAGATAAGGCAATTTTTATATACTGTTGTATATGGCAGTACACTTATCGCGGATCCCTCTTTAAAGTGCAAAAAGACGATATAAAAGTATTCGAAAACTGTCAAAAAACTTTAGTTTAAAGCGAATAGCAAAGTACTCGTGAATTATACCAGTGAAAAAACTAAAACAAATAGCGAATAAAATGTATACGAAAACGATAATTGCTAGTGTTCTGATTGCTTGTATTTGCGTGCAGTTTGGTGAATCTCTTCAGAAATATAATGGATACTTTTTCTAAATAGAGCCGAATCGCTGGTGTGTTATACATGCACCACGCCCAACGATTGAAAGAAACCCTCGAAGACCACGTGCAGCAATGCCACGGCCAATGAGACCAGTCTCCATTTAGGTATCTACCATCAGGGAGTGCGAAATGCCTCCAGCACTCGCTTCGATTGTTTGGCACTACAATACACATGGAGTGAGTATGCTTCAGATCCACCCTCAGAAAACCCTCTCTATAGAATTTCGCTCCCTTTGTAGATAATCAAGTGATCCATCAGTTGCATGGCTGCGTACATCCCGCTGTGGGTCCCTGCACATTGAAGCCTGAAGCCTGCCTATGGGCATTACAACAAGACTAAATGCCTCACCTGCTCTGGGGATAAGTGCAACAAGAGTCCTGCCGGCAAAGTAAGCAGCAGCATCTACACGATGGTCAAAACTTTGGCCTGAAATGAGAGCCTTGGACTATTTTTAAAGACTAACTAAACAGAGAATATTGAGAACAAATAAATTATTTTTGCTATAAGTGACAGCAGCTCTTGCTGCCTGCTGCTTATCTCAATTCAGTGATTAGATTGTCTTCCATGGTATTTCCAGGGTAGCACGTTTTATTCATTACTATTTCACAAGTATTTTTAATCAACTTGAGATTAGTTATTTTTTATGATGCACACACCTTTTGGGTTGAGTAACACAGCTGTCCAGACAGCTTGCACTTGAATTGTGTACAAATGGTTTCAGCTAATCCCAAAGGCTTTTATGGCTTTTAGCACTGGCTGATGCTTGAGAGCCATTTGACATTCATTTGGATATTGGCAGCCTTCATTTGAGTGCTCCCAAAATACTCATGTAAATGATGACTAAAATCTACTAATTTTTCAAGGCAAATGATTCCCCTGCCTCGATGGAAATTCTCTTTGCTGCATGTCACTCAAGTGTGGCTGCCATACAGCAAAACATGAATAAATCTTTAATATTTTTTTGCTGCTGCACATCAGGCCGACTAAAAGGCAAAACTCTTTTTTTTTTTCGGTTTTGCATTGGGGTCATGTTCGTTCTCGTTGTGTGGGAACTGCAGTCAGGCATTTAATTGATTGATTGTTGCTCGTCTATGTCTGCATCGATTTGGCCATGTCCAGGCCATTGCCATTCCCCAGCGTCCACTCCACTCTCTCCCCCTGTCACGGCCTGCGTTTCGTTGTTTCATAACCAAAAACCAGAGTCCATGCCTCGCCTGCAACTCGCCCCCTGAATCAGCTCCTATTCTCCTGTTATCAAATCGACTTCGTGGCTATGTGCCACACATCGTGTTGCCAATTAGTGTTGGTGCGTCATCTGTGCGCATCTGTGCAACACACTGCGTGTGTGTGTCGGTGTGTACGTCATCAATTAATTTTTGTATTGCTGAAACTTTGTTTTTTGGTGGGATTTTTTGCAGTGGGAGAGAGAGAACGTTGCGTGTACGTGGTAGAATCCCAAACCCTCTGTTGACTGATTGGTTTCCTTGCTATTCAATTGTTTTGGTACTGGAAATACGAATGGATGGGCTTTCTAAACAAAGTTATGGTCATGGATTTTGACATATGGACAGCGTGATGAGTAATCAAAGGTGTGGGAGGTGTGTTTTTGGATGTGTTGAGAATCGCTGTGGTGTCTGCCATTATTCAGTTCATTATTCTCTGTAGCTCCTGTCATCTATTGTGGAAAATTAGAGCTTTTGCATTAATTTTTTGTAGTTTTCCGTTTGATGGGATTTTATATTTTATATTTTAAATATTTTCAATGAATTCTGCATGAATTTTAAATAATCACTTTTCAAATCTTTTAAATCTTGCTGCTTTCACTATACTGTACTATTTATATTTTAAGTAGTTATTAAACATTTCTTAAATAGTTTTCAAATATTTAATACGCATTCTGGTGCTCTCTACTTTATGTTTACTTGCTATATTGATTACATTACAGTTAATAACATTAATCAGTTAATTTAATTTTCTTACTCTCTAGCCACCCACTTTTCGCTGTTAAAAGTCAAAGCCTTTACACTGAAACTCTTTCTAAATAACTGATTCCAATACACAAAACTTCCACCTGGTATGCATTGCATACCAAAATAATGATACCTGTGATAACAAATGTTATTAGAAACCAGCAACCACTCCCTCTTCCCCGGAGTATTTCTGGGAATCGCGTAGCTGTCTTTCTCTCATTCTCCTTACCAAAAACTTGTTGGGAAAACTCGAAGAAACTAAATTAAGTTTAACTTGAACTACAATATGTACATTTGATTTATGCATTGAGAGTCCATGGCCTGAACCCAAGCCCTGTTCCGACTTTGTCCACAGCTCCTGCTTCATCTGCTGCTCCTGCTCCTGCATCAGGAGGGGGGAAATCTCCTGATAACTAAGCAAAAACCTAGTCAACTTTCACGTTCGCATTGTTTGCACAAGCACGAAAAGTTATTAAGATGCATAGACGTGATTTTGCATGTTTTAAAAAAGAATACATAATGTTCCAGTTGGCTGGGGAAGGAATAGATAGAGATAGAAACGGGGCCAGGCTCTGCCTTCTTGACTTGCACTTTAAGTACTCTTAATTTACTAAACAAATTTTCATTTCCAAACGAAAAAAATGGTGCATTAAAAGAGCGTCGCGGGTCCTCGTCCTGCCCATTCCTTTGGACCATCCCATCTCATTGACATGCCTGAGACATTGAATTGAATTAAAAGTTTGTCACAAGGAAACAGAATAACGAGAAGTTTCCTTTTCTTGGCCCAAAAGTTTTTCCGCATTTAAATTGATTTGTAATTCGTGGTTAATTCAGTTTTTTTTTTGTGGCTCTCTCTTTTGGTCAGTTTTCAATTCCCATTTTATATTCAATTTCTCAGTGTTTTTATTAAAGTTAATATTATTGTAATTTGACACGGAAATCGTGACAGTTGTTTGAAATTTGCCATTCGATTGCACTGAATGCACAATTAAATACTTGAAAACATTTTTAAACTGTCACAAAATGCAGCATGCTGCGGTCTGGGGCTCAGGCATTTTAGAAATGTGTTAGAGATAGTATTAAGGAAAAGTCTATTTGAATTATGATGCTGAAATAGGGAAGTAAATTGAAAAATTCCGCACTGAACTCCACTGACATATTAAAGAGAAACAAATGATGACGTTTATATGTGATTTAGTACGGCTTTTCCCGTCTTTTCAAGTGCATTTTCATATTCATTTACATTTTCATTCAATTAATAAATATAATAGAAATTCTCGCCATTAATCTCTCTGTTTTGGCTGTGATTTTAAAGATGTGCGAATTAAATTGGGGAAAATATTTCACTCGAATGAAATCGCATTATTGTTAAGCTGTTTATGCCTATGTAATTTGAATATTCAAAAATCAAATGAAATTAGGGAAACGGAAAAGGATTTTCGTTCGTCTCTTCTCACATTTCTCACAATTTAATTGGAGAGACAAATAAATCAAAAACACAGACAAACATCCCAAATGTTTTCACATTCGTTTGCTGTTTTTCGGGGGGAAATATTTACACACACGCACACCTTTGTACTGGTCATAATTTATGAGAGACACGAACAAGTGTAAATGCCAAGAATATTCAAATGAAAAGTGAAAATCCCCAAAACAAAAATAGCTGCTTATATTCATGCCAATGGCGGCAGAATCAAATCCCTTTGGCCACACACACACACACACAAACTAATCTGAAGAACTTGTTGTATTTCTATTCGTAAATTATTATTGTAATATTTGCCTAAAACGTTTATCGCATTGTCGCAAAATGCATTAGAAGGAGTTGGAAGTAGGAGACAGCCTACGTTGATGAGGCGATGAGTTTGAGGTTTTGTTCAGAGATTAGCAAAGTCTTTACTGCTCCCAAACGGAAGTTTAGGGTTCGGTTTCGGGTTTTTGGGGTTTGTTTGTAAGTCATTAGAAATATATTTGCCTTGTTTGGTGTTGAACGCTCAAACTTTATTAGGGACTAGGCATGATATGATGATGACGTTGTAACAGAGACGACTGCTGCGAATGGCAGCTTATGATTTACACATTTTGGCTTGTGAAAGTGTATTTTGGGGTTGAGATGGAACAGGCTTACAATATCATAATACCAAAATCATTTTTAAGTGACTGAGGTTGTTACACATAGCTGCCAGAGTGGTAAACGGGATGCCAGGAATGTAGGAATATAAGTAGTGCTGTAAATTTACAGGATCTCTTCAGTTCCATAACTGTAGCTCATCTGAAAAAAAAACCCATTAACAGAGAACTATCATAAATTTCGTGCCTTTCCGATTGAACAATTATCTGCCTTAAAATGTACAAAACCCCAGGTAGTATAATCTAATCCCTGGCCCAAAAACTCCTCCACCTGTGCTCTCTGTTGCACAACTTGTAGAATTTATGCATGACAGGAGGCATGCCTTAATCCTTTGCCAAGGCGCCAACGTGTGCTGTGGGATGACTGTAGAGAAAGTGCCTGGATTGTAGGGACAGGGAATTAGAGTGCCTCGTGTTTGTTATTAGCAAAACAATCGCAAAAACACCACAGGAATGTAGAATGTATGATGCAGCATACACGATACAGGATGCCTTGCCATATTATGATTAACACTCCTTAACAAAAACACAGAGAAAGCCCGGAGAAAATTAAATTAAACTGGTGAATGAATCCGTTGCAACTCAATTAACTTTTGCGAAAATCTGCTTAAAGGTTCTATGCATACATGGCCCTCGATGGGCTCTCGAGCATAAATCAATCATTATTTGCAACGCCAGAAGTGACACTTTATAAGGTTATTGTTCCTCTTCCGCATTGAGCATATTAAAAGTGAAATGTACCGGGGAAAGCATGTAGAAGGGGAAAGGGGCAAAAAGTCAGGAAACATTTTATTGGAGGCGACAATGAAAAATCGCTGCCGCATATGTTCGACAATAACCTGACATTATTGACTGTTAATATCCGGCAAAATAAATGCTGCCATTTGTTTTAAATATCGACTAGAGGATGCACTAACTTTTGTGGTTTGAAAGCTGGAGAATATACTGAGTCGAAGTGTGATAAATATTTTATAAAGCTGGCAGAGAATTGAAGCGATAATGTTTAATTCCTTTAAGAAATATGTTTAGATAATTTATTTTATGTCTATGTGTTCTCTGGATTTTAATTATACAGAGAAAAGGCTAGTTTTCGGTCTCCTTGTAGTGAAAATTCGACGACTATTAATATGTAAGCAACCGACACGCGACTTTTTCTGTTCCACTGTTCCCACAATACCCTCCCTTCTATAGGGTAGACTTAAATCGATCTGGGTGCAACATTTCAATAACTGAAACGCCAATTAAAATTGTACAATGGGTTCTCGGTCAGAGGAGTGACTCCAAACAAAAGAAAAAAAGAAAAAAACCAAGAGAATCCAATGGAAAAAAATGC